AGCAAGGAAGCATCATCATCATCATCATCATCATCATCATCATCATCATCATCATCATCCATCACTTAGTAGGTTCTTTCTTTCTTCCTTTCTTCCTTTTGTTTTTGCAGTCCTGGGGATTGAACCTAGGGCTCTGCACTGAGGGACAGCCCTATCCCCATCCATCCCCTTTAAAATTTTTTTAGTTTGAAAATGGATCTCACTAAGTTGCCAAGTTTTCTAAGCTGGGCTTGAATTTGTGATCCTCCTGCTTCAGCCATTATAAAGAAAAAAAGAGTGTAGACATGTTAGTTCTTTAAGATTATTAACTTTTGTTTTGGCTCTGTCTTCAGACAGTAAGAACAGGCCCAGGCACATGGTATACACAGTGTAAGAATTTGTTGGATGAATGAATGAAATGAATACAAAATGGGAATTTGTTTTCACTTATTGGCAGTTCCCTGGTTCTAAGAAAATCATGTTAATAGAAATGTAATATTTGTCTCAAACTTACCATAAACTGGCCCCAGAAAGAAAACGGTCTTAATATTTGGGCAGTATTTATCTTTAGGTGTTAAGATCACAAATGATTTTTATTTCATGCCTTATAGTTTTCCTGATATCCTTGGATTACTTTCATAATTGGGAGGAAATAATCTCTGAAAAAAAAAATCAGTCTCAGAACATAAATGAGTCCTAACGGAGTGCTACCCCAGAGCACTATGGGAGAGATCCTCACACATGTGTAGGTGCTGACCTCATTTGGGCTCAGAACTGTGAATTAACTTTAGTGTCGCAGTTCACACTCCATCTCTCCATAGGTCCACGATGGGACAGTGATGTAGGCCAGGCTAGGATTAGCGGCCTCATTTCACAAACAAGGAACCTGAGAGCCAAAGATGAAGGTGACACGGTGTTTATGGGCCCTGCTGGCACTGAAACGTGAGCCTGTTGACTTTAGCCCAGTAGCCTTTCTACCTTACCTGGCAGCCTCTCATCAAAGCCCAGTCGTAGAAGGAATGAGACAAGGGTGGAGTTGCGTCATGGGCCAGGCCTTCAGATAGCAGAATCTACAAGGACTTTTCATGTAGAAGCCTGGCTTGGAGTTTTTGAGTCAGACAGCCTGGGTCAGTATCCCAGTTCTTCCACACACTTTCTTAGATACAGAATTTTATTATCTTTGAGCCTTGATTTTCTCACCTGTAAAGCTGGCCCATTATCTGTCTTGCAGGATTTTTGTGAGGGTCAAATTGATACTAATAAGGTAGATAGATATTGCAAGAATAGCTCTGTCATTTGTCATCATACTTATGCTGTTGTATGCATGGCATTCCTTTTTTCTGACCTGTGTTCATACTCAGTGTCATGTATTATTATTCCTAGGTGTATCAGTCGGTTTTTGCTGAGTACCAAAGATCTCAGAATTGCAGTGGTTTTCTTGACAGTAGATATTTATTTGTCATGGCTGTGGTTTGGCCAACCTAGGTCAGGGTGGCTGGCTCCCGCTGGACTTGTATTTGGGTCCAGATTTGCTGCATGTGTCTTCAGCCCAGGGTCCAGATTTAAACACAGCAACTGGTAGGAGCAAAGGAGACCTGCTTCTTGCATGGCACATCATGGGAATGCAAGAGGGGCAGACTTAGGACCAGCACATTATCATTTCTATCCACACTCCTTTGGCTAAAACAACTCAGTAGTCTGGCCCAAAATCCAATGAAGGAGGGAAATAAACTTAACTCACCATAGTGGGAAGCACTAAAAGTTGCAGGACCAAGGGCGGAGATTTATGACCTGGAATTGTGTTGGGAGTGAAGAATAGGGTGAGGGGTCCAGGCTGCCACACTGTCTCTGCCAGTTGGCTGGGGTGAAGCAAGGAGAACAAAGGAAGAGCAAGCTGAGGAGGGGCCTGGCTGAGGCAAGTAACGCACCTTTGCCTTTCAGAGACGTGCTTAGTGAAGTTGGGATCTGGAGGTCAGTGTTTTAGGAAGGTCATCTGTGATTCTTAAGGAGACCTCATATTTATCCTTAGGCCACTTCCAGATTGTCCTGATTACTGCAGCTTTCTTGCAGGTTTCGGAGTCAGGAAGTAAGAGTCTTCCAACATTATTCCCAAAGACACTTTGGCTATTCTGAACCCAACGCATTTCCATATGAACCTTAGGATAAGTTTGTGGATTCCTCATCTACTTTAAATGTATCATTCAAGGTAATGTGAAATAGGAAGAAAATGGGAAAAGGGGAAGAGGAAGTGGGAGGGGTAGGGGAAAGGATAGAAGGGAATGGAATTAATATGAGAAAATGAAAAAATGGAAACACAATCTTTGTAAATAAGGAGGGATGGAGGGGTTGAAGGGAGGGCAGGGGAAGGGGAAAAATAAGAACCAAGAGAGATTATGTAAAGGTGCAAATTTCCAATGATGAATGTCATTATATTGCATACCTAAAATGTACCAATGATTAGAATGAATAATCGATAATGCAAAATAGAAAGAAAAGGTCCAAAGGGGTAGGGGTAGTGGGAGGGGCAGGGGAAAGGAAAGAAGGGAAAGGAAAAATGATGAGAAATGGAAAAAATGGAAACAAAGTCTTTGAAATAGGGAAGGGTGGAGGGGATGAAGGGAGGGCTAGGAATGGGGAAAAAATAAGAACCAAGATGCATCATGTAAAGGTACAAGTTCCCAATGAGAAATGTAAATGTGTTGTATACCTAAAATGCACCAATGAAAGAATTTAAGTAATAATAATAATAAAAAATGTATCATTCAAGGTTCCAGAAGATGTAGTAGGTCACTCAGTTTGAGGGAAATGATCTGATCACTTATCCAACAAATATTTATCAATATTGTGTTTGGCCTTGCATGGTTGATGTTGGGGTTACTCCAATGAGCAAGTCCAAACACAGTCTTTGTATTCATATATCTTGTAATTGAATTAAATCAACAGATAATAATCAGTCTTCACAATAATGAATTCACAATCTCTGACTCACCATGGTTTGTCTTACAAATTTTTGACTTTAGGATGTGAAAAAGTATACTAATATATACTTTTGTTTTTCACTTCAGTTCAGTATCAAATAAATTACACGAGATATTCAACACTGTTACATAGTAGGCTTTGTATGAGGTATTTTGCCCAGCTGTGGAATAATGTACATGTTCTAAGCATGTTTAAGTTAGGCTAGGCTAAGCTATGATGTTCAGTATTAGGTATACTAAATGCATTTTCAAATTTAGGATATTTTTAACTTAGAGTGGTGAATCCAGGACAGGATAACCACCTCTAAGCTGAGGAGAATCCATATAATTAAAATCCAAGATCAATTATATGAGTAGCAAAACAGTCCTCAGAGGATGTAACACTTGAGGAAGTACAGGAGTTAACTAGACAAAGAGGGTGAAAGAAGCAGCTGCCAGGGCAGAGGGAACAGCATGAGAAGAGGGCCTGTGGCTGAAGAATCACAACTTGTTCCAGCATCTACACCAACCTCATGTGGCTGCAGCAGTGAGCCTGGGGACAAGATGCAGCCAGAGAGGGGGACAAGATTGGAATGTCTTCCATGATTTAGAGTTCTACCCTGATCACTAAGAAGCCACTGAAGGATGCCCACCTGGGAGTGAAAAGCTGGGAGATGACACAGTCAGATTTATGTTGTAAAAATCTCATTTTGTGTATCAACTAGTTGTAAGATGTGAGTACTTGGATTCAATTTTTTTAAAACACTAATTTTGGCATTAATGAGACTTTTAGGAGTGTAGACATTGATGATACAGAGGCATTCTTTTTTTGGTGTGGTAATAATATTGCAGTTGTATTTTTATGAAAGACCTTATCTTAGAGATATATACAGCAATACAACTGAAATGATAAGATGTCTAGAATTTCCTGCAAAATTACAATGTGTCGGAGGGGAAGGGTGAGGGTAATTGTGAATTGTGGCTTGCCGGTGGTTAGGTTAGGTTGATTATGGGTTCATGGTGTTTGGGCTGGGTGATAGGCACGTGGATTTTATGATACTCTTGTCTGTTTTGGGGTGTGTACAAAATTTTGTCGGGGGAGGGAAGGGGAGAGAGAGAGAGGATGAGAATGAGAATGAGAATGTATATCACTCTGGGTCCATCATGGGAGACAAGCTTTAGAAGGAGAGGGGGTAATGGAAATGAGACGAGTTAGGAGGCAGTTGCGATGGCCCAGGTGAGAAGGGTGGTGGCGTGGCCCAGGCTGTGTAGTGGAGATGGACAGACAGGTTGAGAGTCTTTGGGAAGTAAGATTGACATGACTGGGGACACACTGGATACAGGGATGAAGGAGATGGTAGAGCCAAAAGCTTTGGCCCCACTTGGATGTGCCAGTCTGAACTCGTGGTGCCTGGAGAGGGACTAAGCAGGTCCCTTGGTTCACAGTGTTTTCATACCCCCCCCTCGCTTTCCCTCCCCTCTGCAAATACTGAAGCTGTCCCTTTATGTGACATCTTTTATCCCAGACTCACTGTGCCCTGTGCATTCAGCAATTAATTAAGCTTTAGCATGCATGCATTAATTAGAATCCTCTCCCAGGTTCAGAGAGGCTGCCCTGAACTGTGTATGTCCATCTGTGGCTGCTTTCTTCCCGGAGCTTGTTCCCTTTGCTGGGGGATGCCTTTGCCTTCCAGTGGGCATGCAGTGCAGATACCTGTCTGTTGCACCCACTTTAATTTCATGTTTAGGGGCCTGGGTCTAGGGAAGTTAATGACTTGTAAATTGCTCTCCAACGTAGAGCTAGAAATAGAATACAAGAAGGATTCCTGAGCACTTCTTGTACAAAAATACAATGATGGAGATGTCAGCACCACGGTGGGGACCTGAGATACGGGTTTCTGGTTTCTCCATCCTTGTTTTCCTGGACAACCACTCTGTGGGGCCAGGCCATTCCTAACAGGGGCACCAACCTCCGAGCGAAGCCACACGCTGGCCTGAGACAGTGTTGTTTACCTCGTCCCACCGCATGACCCTTGTCACCTTTTCTTCCTTTTCCCCTTCCAGGTAATTTTCTGATGTTACGGCGGAGACATGAGATCTTCAGCCTCCAGGCTCTCCAGTTTTTCATCAAGAGATTCGCTATGGAATCGGTGAGTGGTCTCCAGCCCCTCCTGTCTGCAGAACGTAGCCTGGGAAGTGTAGGCGAATTGGGGTGGGGGCGGGACGCAGTTTGCTGAAACACGGGCATGGGAGTCTGGCGGAATCACCATCAGCGTGAGCGTGGTGGGCCATGGGTTTGCTGGTGTTTGTAAAGCTGTGGACCTCTCAAAGGGTTTCCTATCACGTGACTTAGCCTTTGCCTTTCTCAGAGGGAAAGTTGGGGGTGGGCTGGAACCAGAGAAGCCAGGAACGGTAGCAGCAGTACCACCAGCATCGGTAGGTGCTATTTTATTTTATTTTTACATTCATTGGGGCCAATTGGTACATCTGTATGACACATCTCAATTCTTTTTTACTCCCCTTCCTATCCACCCTCTTTTTAAAATTTTTTTTCATTTTTGCCTGCATCAGAATCGTTTATTTTATTTTATAAGTTCTTATCAAGTTAATTATCATAAACACAAATTAACAGACCAAAAAACATATAAAACACAAATGACAATTATACTAAATCAAAGCACACCACACTTTTAGATACTTTGGCCATGCTGGATTACAATAACTTTTTCCTTGCTGTTTTTTTCCTATTGTCTGTCTTTTATTTTGCACTTTATTTATATATTGGATTTCTCATATAAGAGAAATCATGTGATATTTAACTTTGTGTCTCTGATTTACTTCATTTAACATTAAGGTCTCAAGGTGCACCCATTTTTTTCTTTTGTACTGGGGATTGAACTCGGGACCTTGTGCTTGCGAGGCAGGTGGCGGAACCATTGAGCTAAATCCCTGGCTCTGTACCCATTTTTTTACAGATGACTCAAGCTTATCCTTCTTTATGGCAGAGTAGTACTCCTTTGTGTATAAATATTGTATTTTCTTTATCCATTCATCTGTTGATGGGCTTACAGACGGCTTCCAAGATTTAGCTGTTATGAATTGTGCTGCTGTATCACTGTAATATGATGTCTTTAACTCTTCTGGGAAGATACCTAGAAAGGTAATAGCTGAGTGACATGCAATTTTTAGTTTTTGAAGAATCTCTATACTGATTTGTATAGTGGTTGTACTAGTTTACACTCCTGCTAACAATAAAGAATGGTTCCTTTTTCCCTATAGCCTCTCCAGCATTTGTTTTTGTTTGATTTCTTGAGAATGGCTACTCTTTCTGGAGTGAGATGGAATCTCAGTGTTGTTATAATTTGCCTTTATTGAGTGGCCAGCGATGTTGAACATTTTTTCATGTATTTATTCACTTTTGTACTTCTTTATCTTGAGAAGTTTCTTTTCATTTCAGATGCCCATTTTTGATTGGGTCTTGAAATTTTGAGGGGTCTAATTTTTTAGAGTTCTTTATATATTCTGGATATTATCCTTTGTCTGAGGAGCAGCTGGAAAAATTTTATTCCCAGTCTGCTTGTTATCTCTCACTCTGTTGGTGGTTTCTTTTGCTGGCAGAAGCTTTTTAATCATTTGGTGATTCTCAGTACTATTTCTTGTTCAACCAGGGTTCTTCTGTTCAGAAAGTCTTTGCCTGTTCCTGTCTTTGAGTTTTACTTATTTTGTATTCCAACAGATTAAGTGTTTCTGTTTTAATATTTAGATACTTGATCCATTTTGATTTTAGTTTAGTGCATGAGAACTATGGGTCTAGGTTCAATCTTTGGCCTATGGCTAGCCAGTTTCCCCAGCACATTTGTTAAAGAGTCTGTCTTTCTTCCAGGGAAAGTATTTGGCCCCTTTGTCAAAAATACAGTCGTTGAATATGCCTAGAGTTGTTTCTGCGTCCATGATTCTGTTCCATTGATCCACAAGTCTGTTTTTTGCCAATACCATGCTGTTTTTATCACTGCAGATTTATAGTATAACTTGAAGTCTGGGATTGTGACGGCCCCTGCCTTGCCTATGTTGCCCAGAATTGCTTTTGCTATTGTAGGTCTCCTCTGGTTCTATATGAATTTTAAGGTTGCTTTCTCTAGTTCTGTGAAGAATGCTATTGGTATTTTGATTGGGATTGTGTTAAAATCTATGTAACAGTTTTGGAAGTATGGCCATTTTGAAGATATTGACTATGCCAATCCAGGAACAGGGGATATCTTTCCATTTTCTTATGTCCTCTTCGATCTTTTTTTCACAATATTATAATTTTTATTGTACAGGTCTTTCACTTCTTTGTTTGGCTTAGTTACTAAGTATTTCATTTTTCTTGATGGTATTGTGAAAGGAATTATTTCTGTAATTCTCTCTTGTTGAGTTTGTTATTGATATAGAGGAACACTGTTGATTTCTTGAGTGTAGACTTTGTATTTTGCTGTGCTATTGAATTTGGTTATTAATTCTAGGAGTCTTTTGCGGGGGGGGTTGGGGTAGAGTATCATGCCATCAGGAAATAATTATAATTTAACTTTATCTTTTCCTATCCATATCCTTTTCATTCTTTCTCTTGTATAATTGCTCTGGCTAATGTTTCAAGAACTATGTTAAACAGAAGTGGTGATAGTGGATATCTTTGTCCTGTTGCTGATTTTAGAGGAAAAGCTTTCAGCTTCTGTCCATTTAGTAGGATGTTGGCTGTTGGTTTGTGATAGATGGCTTTATTCAGATTGAGATAAAGACCTTCAATACCTGTTTTCTTTAAGGTTTCTATCATGAGTGGATGTTGGATTTTGTCAAAGGCTTTTTCTGCATCTACCGAGGGTCATGTGATTTGTGGCCTTGCTTCTGTTTTTGTGGTGTGTTACATTTATTGATTTGCATATGTTGAACCATCCCTGCATCCCTGGAATGAATCCTACTTCATTATGATGTATAATCTTTTTTTATGATTTGCTGCATTTTCTTTGCCAGTATCTTATTGGGGATTTAAAAAAATCTATGTTCATTACAGAGATTGGCCTATAGTTCTCTTTTTTGATTGGTCCTTTTCTGGTTTTGGAATCAGGATGAAGCTTGCTTATAGAAAAGAGTTTGAGAGTACTGCTACCCTTTCAATTTCATTAAAGAGCTTGAGGAAAATTAGATCTTCTCTAAAGTTCTTGTAGAATTCAGCAGTGAATCCTCTGAGACCTGGGCGTTTCTTAGTTGGTAGTTTTTTTCTAATACTTCTTCAGTTTCATTGACAGATATTGGATAATTTAGGATTTTTGTATCTTCTTGGTTCAGCTCTGGTCGTTCCTATGTATCTAGGAATCTATCTATTTTTCTGAATTTTCCATTTTATTGGAATACAGTTTCTCATAGTATTTACCAATGATCTTCTGAATTTTGGAATAATCTGTTTTGATTTTGCCTGTTATATTTTTAATTGTATGAGTTTGAGTCTTTTCTTTCCTTATTTTGGTAAGATTGGCTAAGGGTTTGTCTATTTTGTTTATTCTTTCAAAAAACCAACTCTTCAGTTCATTAGTTCTTTGTATTTTTTAAAGTCTCAATTTTATTAATTTCTCCTCTGATCTTATAATTCTCTTACTTGTACTAGCTTTGGATTTGGATGGTTCTTGTTTCTCTAGGACTTGGAAGTGGATCATTAGGTTATTTATTTGAGCTCATTCTGTTTTTCTGATACAGAAATTCACCAGTGTAAATTTTCCTTTTAGAACTGCTTCCATTGTGTCCTATATTTTCCAATAAGTCATACTGTCATTAATATTTGATTGTAGAAATTGTCTAATTTCTTCCTTAATTTAATCTGTGACCCATTGATTATTCAAGAGAGTATTATTTAATTTCCTTGTGTTGCATAATTTCTGTGGTTTCTTTTGCCATTGATTTCTAGTTTCACTGTACGATACTCTTATGCATGGAATAATTTTATTTCTTTTGCTATTATTCAAGCATGCTTTATGGGCTAATATTTGATCTGTTTTAGAGAAAGTCCCATGTGCTGTTGAGAAGAATGTGTATTGTGTTGTTGTTGGATAAAACATTCTATAGATATCTATTAAGTCCATATGTTTGAAGGTTTGGTTCAACTCTGATATTTCTTTGTTGATTTTTGTCTAGTTTATCTGTCCATTTGTGACAGTGGGATATAGAGGTCCACCCTTGTAACTGTATTGGTGTTTTATCTGATTTTTTATGTCCATTAGTGTTTGTTTTATGCAGTTGAGTGTGTCAGTATTTGGCGCATACATGTTTATAATTGTTTTTTCTTCCTGTTAAATTGTTCCTTTACCCAATATGTAGTGACCTTCTTTGTCTCTTCTGATCAGTTTTGGCTTGAAATCTACTTTTTCTGAAACTAGGATAGCTACTCCTACTTTTTTCTAGGTTCCTGTTGCATGGAATATTATTTTCTATCCTTTGATTTCCAATTTGTGTTTCTTTTTCAGTTAACTGTGTTTCTTATATATTGCATATTACTGTTTTTTTAATCTGTTCTGCCATTCTGTGTCTTTTGATTGAGGAATTGAGAACATTCACATTGAGAGTTATTACTGAGAGGTATTGACTTATTCCTGTCAGTACATTATTTTTCAGTTGCTGATTTCCTTTTTTTTCTTTTTCTTTTTGCTTAACTGCTCATTCTTCCAGGTACATTCAGTCTTTTTGACTTATTGACATTGTTGGCTTCATTGTCTCTTTCTAGACTATTCTTGAGAATTTTCTGTAATGCTGGTTTGGTCATCATGAATTCCTTGAGGTGCTCCTTGTCATGGAAATACCTTATTTCTCTATCAGTTTTGAAGGAAAGTTTTGCAAGATACATAAGTTGGGGTTGGAAGTTGTTATCTTTTAGGGCTTGAAACGCTTTTCTCCATGTCCCGGTTGGCCTTTAAGGTTTGTGTAGAGAAGTCTGCTGTAATTCTTATGGGGTTTACCTCTGTATGTGATTGGTTGCCTTTCTCTAAGCTTTTAAGATTTTGTTCTTGTGATGGACCTCTGGTACTTTGCATATAATGTGACTCCGAGAATATCTCTTTTAGTCATGGCTCTTTAAGGTTATATATGTCTCATCTGTATGTTTATTTCTTTCCCTATATTTGGAAAA